CTACTACTACTACTACTACTACTACTACTACTACTACTACTACTACTACTTACTACTTACTACTTACTACTTACTACTTACTACTTACTACGAACTACCAACTACTAACTACTAACTACTAACTACTAACTACTACTACTACTCCTGCTCCTGCTGCTGCTGCTGTTGCTGCTGCTACTGCTGTTGCTGCTGCTGCTACTCCCACTGCTACTGCTACTCCTACTCCTACTCCTACTGCTACTACTACTACTACTACCACTACTACTACTACTACTACCACTACTACTACTACTTCTACTACTACTACTACTAGCTACTAGCTACTAGCTACTACTACTACTCCTCCTCCTCCTGCTGCTGCTGCTGTTGCTGCTGCTGCTACTGCTACTCCTACTGCTACTACTACTACTACTAGTAGTATGGGCTTCTAAGAGGAGCTAAGGAGCTACAAGAGCTACAAACAAACATGATTGCGTTTTGTCATTGTCACAGACAACCAGCCCGTGTCATTTGGGAACACACGCAGGCCTTAGAACAGCAGATGGGCTGTTTATTCCTGGATTTCTGACGTGTCTGAGAAACTATGTTGGAAAATACAGAAACTATATAGGTAAACATAGAAACTATATAGGGTTTAGAGAGAAACTATATTGTTTTTTAAAGAAACTATATTGACAAACATTGGTCTCAGAATTGCCCCTGGGCCCCTGGATGACATTTGACAATTTGACACATTAAGCCTAGCAACCTGTGATAAACAGGCTGCATGTTCATCTATCATTGCCCGCCCTTGTTGCCCAAAAGTGCTCAAACATCGCTAAATACATACATCATGTACATCATGTTCTCTTTGTACCATTCATGTTCAATAGTTTCCAGGCTTCTGTGTATTGTTTTCATTCGGTCTTGCCTTGAATTGCAATGGAGAAGAGAACCCGTGGAGTGCTTGGAGTTTTGACTGCTGAACTCTCAGCTGCTGCGCATGATGCAGACACTAAGCTCAAACTTCAATGTGGGGGTCGCTTCTTATTTCACTACTTGTCACCTGCAAGAGTTGCTTGGTCATTTATGGCTTTTGTGCCCCAGCCCGTTCCATCCCCTACTGAGAAGATGCGTGTCATGTCCTGTCACAAGAGCAGCCAAGCCATCAATGGTGACATGTAGCCTAGCCTAGCTGTAGTAGATTTCACAAAAATCACAGGCCCAAAAGTAGCAGATGCAACATTCAGTTCACCATTCAATGCCGACGCCAAGGAGGCAACAGCTCCCGAGAAGAAGGAGAGCTCCAGCGCTGACGAGGAGGACAGGGCTTGGGAATCTTTATTTTGGTGGTGGTGCATAGGCACGGTATCTGAGTCGATCATCAACTGTGAGCCCTTGTTCGTACAGCCTATCAATCACTTGGCCCTGCCCCATGGCCAAAGGCTTATAACTTACTAGAACTGATACATGATAGGCCGATGTGTAAAAGACTCCCATCCTATGAATCATATAATGTCCTATTTCACACACATATATTATATATATATATGATATTTCTGTATATAGAAATATTTGAAATATTCTATGTCTATCACACACGTGTGCTGTCAGTCCTTATCTGAAGCTTTGGCGAACAGGAACGATCCTCTACTTGGTCCATCTTGACCACAAGCTTGTCGGACGATGAAGAACCAGGCTCCGAACCTGACAGTGACCGCCCAGAATCTGAAGAATGTAGACCCCAGAAGCTGACCATGTTTGAGTGTGCGGATTTGTACGTGAAGCTTAGCAAGATTGACAGCCAGTTTTCCCCCCTCCGGGGCATGATCGGCGACTTGATCTTGAAGCGCGTAACCGCACGTGACATGTGTTTTTTGACCGTATGTATGTTATGTTATGTTGCATTCTGTTTGACTTTTGCTGTTGCTGTAGATTTGCACAGGCAAAGCAGGTCAAATCACATTGTCGGTCAAGGGCATGGAGTCAGGTAGTGGAAAATAGCAGTCCAGTCAGGTCGGGTGGGTGTCAAACCAAAATCAACTGTGCTCTGCAGATCCCCTGTGGTAAGGTATATCATCGCATCAGCTTGCACTGGGGCTGGAACTTTGAATTACTGCATGAGTCTCGGGTCAGCACCAGCAAGGACTGGGCTGGGTTTGGTTACTGATCACACCTTCAGACTGACCTCCACATGATCCATCACCACCCATGTAGTCATCTAGTCTTGACTGCAACTACCATTCAGATGTCATTCATGATTCTTGATTCAAGCTTCGTGATCAAATCCCCGTTCATGAACCAATCCTAGTCATAGTCATGATCATTCATGCCCTCAACTG